TGTTTTCAGTATGTTGAGTGTTATGTGCTCATATTTGAGATAATCAAACATTACAGACAAGAAAAGGTTATGGAGTGATGGTCTCTGAGGAAACTGGGAACATATACATGAAGGTATATGTTGAATAAGTATCTATATATATGATGTGAATCTGAATTGAGTCTTTTCATGAATGTGTTGACTGAAAATTATTGTTTTGCTCAATAGATGCCAAGAGAGAAGAGGGTTCATTTTGTGCCAAATACAAGGGCTTCAACAAGTGGTACTAGGGCTAACAACAACAACAAAAGAAGTGGCTCAAATGTTGAAGAAATCTGTAGAACTCAAGAGAGTGTGAACAAGCAATCCAAAGTTCAAAAGAAGTAGTACAAGGAATTATGTTTGTGATGTTGATTTGTGGAACTGAAGAGAATCTTTATTTTGTTACTTGACATTTTGTGTTGTCTAAGAACAAGGATTATGTATGTGGTGTTGGTCTGTACACTGGGAATTATGGTTTGTTTTGTTGTTTTCCTATGATTGGGGTGTGTACTATCTAAAAACATATTGGTGAAACTTTTGGAATGTTAAGGAAAGGTAAATTCATCTTCATTTCATTGTATACAGCTTAGCTTCATTTCAGCTTAGCTTATTCTTGTGCAAGATAAAAAGGGTTCATTACACTTTGCTCATCAAAGTAAATCAACATCAACATATTTAAACACAACTTCAAATGATAACATAATATTGTTCATTACATAACCAAAACAAAAGAACAAACATAACCAAGTGTCTCCAAATAAACACAACAACATTTTTGGATACAACATATCATCATATCATCTCCAAACCAACACAAAACATTTATCTCCAACAACACCATCTTCTCTACTTAAGCATCAACCCGTAATCAACCAACCATATACAAGAAGAACAAAGAGACACAAAAACAATAACAATTTCTTTTCTTTTCTTCCCTTTTCAAAAGTGTCTTTCAGCTTCTTCTCCAATTCATCATTCTTCATTTTCAACATATCCATCTCCTTAACCTTCATTTCTAACCTTTCTACCTTCTTCTCCAATTCATTATTATCCATTTTCAACATATCCATCTCCTTAACCTTCATTTCTAACCTTTCATTTAATAGTTTCTCCATAACTTGTTTGCATCTCAATTGCTCTTCAAGGGACTTTTCTCGACTCTTTAGCTTCAAATAGCACCCTTTCTGGTAAGGTGGAAGTTCAGGATCCAACCAAACAAAATATTGACAATCTTCGTCCTAAAAAAAGGGTAAAATACTTGCAAATTAGTACTAGTTGGGTACAACCTCACAGTCCTCTTCCTAAAAAAATCAGATGAAACAAAAAAAAAAAAGCAACGCAGTAACTCACATTTCGATGACTGCAACGGTAGAATCTCCTTGCTGGGTTTGTCTCCGTTTGAGATGTTAGCAGTTCGGCTTCATCTCCATGGCGGCATGTCGGTTTGGTGGAGTTGGAGCTTCGAAATTGTGGGCCAGAAAATGTCTTCCAAGACGAGTTGGTGGAGTCGCTTGACATGGAGCTTCAAAATCGGATGATTGCGCTGTAATTTCGTTGGGAGAAATTAGGGCAATTTCGTAGGGAGAAATTAGGGGGAAAAAAATTAGGGTTCTTGTGTACACATTAGGGATTTGGAAATTTAGGGGTTCTTCACTCGATTTAATGGATTTTAGTTGTTTTTACGGTATTTATAGTCCGTCCATGTCATCGCACATGTGGAGAATCATTTTCGGCGTCTTTTTTTTTTTAATTCCAAGTCATAAATTAACGTCGGACACGTAAGCACCAATGGTCGGTCTCCGACATTCAGGTATCTTTTTGCAAAAATAACAAAGGTCGTGATATACTCCGCCAAGGTTCAAAGGTCGTGATGTTTTAGCAATTTGAGAAAAGGTCGTGATATAACGAGCTATTTTGCCTAATAATAATAATAAAGAAATTGAAAGCTAAAAGGAATTGGTAAACATAGACCTGCAAAACCAACGTGCAACACTTCTCTTCATGTAAGGGACCCATTTCAACTAAGTTACCTTAAGTTCATCTTTCCGTCTCAAGCTACTTCCTTAATGGCTAAGCATGTCAATCCCCAACAACTATGCACAAAAGGTACTACTACTAAATAACACTACTAAGGCTCAACAAAATTTGATTGAACACACATACACGAGCACAAGACAATCCTGGCCCTTCATCTGTCTACTAATCCACGGCTCAAATTCTATAACAATTTCAAACTTCAACAAAGTGAAAAAAGATCACACACAATTGCTTTTGGCGTGCGTTGTTTTCTCCCTTCAAACACCAAAAGCAACAAAAGTAAATCAAACTACACACAACACAACTTTTGATATTGCAACATCAATTCAAAAAAGCTTCTCCCTTTTTCTTTCACCTCGTCGACGCCAAAGTTTATTTAAAAGACGCAAAACCATCCTCAATTCCATTCTCCTCCCTTCATACCCACAACAACGTTCATCGAAAGAAAAAACAATTCAAGCGAGCGAAAAATGGAAGTCCCTCGAACATCCCCACAGCCCACACCAAAGCAAAACAAGTTATCTCCTATTTATAACTTAGTCTTACCAAAGCAACCCTTAACTCCCGATTCCCTTCTGTACGCCACAAAGCTCAGAACTCGAGAGCAACCCATTCGCAGCCATTCTCGAAAAACGAACCCAATGGTATGGTGCGTGGCCATCCTCTGCATGCTCTTCATCATCCTCGTCATCTTCTTCGGCATCGCCACTCTAATTATCTTCATCACCTTACAACCCAAAACTCCCTCATTCGACACACCGGCAGCAACCCTTTCAGCCATTTATTTCAACCCGCCCGGTTTCATTAACGGCGACTGCACATTCATGGCAAATATTTCCAACCCAAACAGAAGATTGACCGTTAGGTACGAGCACGCGCGTTTTGAGCTCTACTTTATGGAAACTCTAATGGCGGCCCAGATTATAGAGCCCTTCAGGGAAAGTCCCGGTGAAAAACGGGTGGTTCCTGTACACATGCTGTCTAGACAAGTTCTTCTTCAGCCAAATCTGGCTATGGAGCTACAGAGGCAGGGGCAGAGGAATAGTGTTGTGTATAATGTGAGAGGGGCTTTTAGAGTGAGGGTCGAGTGGGGTTTACTTCATTATTCTTACTGGCTGCATGGGGCGTGCCATTTGGAAATGACGGGCCCACCGAACAGTGTACTTTTATCACACAGCTGCACGAAAAAGAGATAAGAGGCGAAGGAGGAGGATGTGTTTTTCGGTTTCCATTTTGCTAATAAATCGTCTTCAGCATTCAGGTTGCTAGTAAAGAACTATGTGGTGTATATGGACAAATGCTTCAAAGGGAAGAAAGTAGTTTGCTTTTCTTTCTTTTTTTTTTTTTTTTTTCTCTCTCTCTCTGAAAGTTATAGACAGGAAAAAAGTAGTTTGATGGACTATTGAGAATTATCATGATGTCTTATACGAAGTTCTCCGATTATACAATCAAATCAGATTCAAATTTGCAATTCTTATCGTGGTCTAAAGTTTTGCGGGTAACCACTAGTTGAGAGATGCACCACAGATCTAGAACTAGAAGCTTAAGAATGTGTCTAATACCATTAAAAAAAGCACAACATCAAACTTCTTGTGCAAAGCATTTCTGAGAATAACTAGAGGCAGGTGAGCATAAATTGTACCATTCTAAGGTTTTGAAACTTCGACATAAAACTGGTGATAATCAAGCCCTGATGAAAGTGAGGAAGAAATAAAGGACTTTGATGCCTTTATAAATTACTGCAGAGACTAATTACTAATTCCATCCTCCTTGAGCACGACTTCCTCAACAAATCAAACCTTTTGTTCAATACATTCCATCAGATTCAACTGATTCTGAATCAATTTAGGGAGAATGAAGAAAGGAAACATAAAAATACAAAATGAATGAGAATTCAAGAAGCAGAGAAAAAAAACAAAGTAACATGAAGCAAATCTTTTCCTACATATATGGTGTCACATTGGAATGCCGGGAATGCTTTGGGGCCACATCAATATAACTTTTCGATCAACTCTGACGAAAATATATATATATAGCAAAACTGGCCTTGATGACTATAAAGGCCCAAAATATAAAAAGGGAAAAAAGCATACAAGCTCGTATCAGAAATTTCAGCCCCTCTTAGCATGATTCAGTCCACTAAAACCTTGTCTACGTTTTCTCTACATCGTGCAGTGAAAACTAGCATGCAACATACCCACAAGCAATCCCCATTGGCGAATAACATTCAGAATTTACAAGATTTTGATATGATAGCAATGATGTATGTTCACGAGCCAAGAAAATTCAGACCTAAAGTAAAATATATGTTAACCATTGAATTTTCTCTCAAACAAGTTTTGGTCAACACGATACTGTCCAACTACTCCAGAGAGCAGGTACAAATTCAACCACATCAACCAAAATTGAAAATGCGTGAAGATAGTACAACTGATTAACAGGAAATTATCGATAGTAAAACCTACTAGCAGAGATGACTATTTAGCAAGATGTCATTGCATTCATCAGGTAAAAAAATACTATCACAAATCAAACGAACAAAGATTACAATGTTTCACAATTCCATCATTCTTTGAACAACAAGGGACGTGTATCAAAGCAAAAAAGAAAACTCAGCTTTTCACTGCTTGTCAACTTCTGCCGGTGTCTTTGCTGTAATTGACAAAGCATGCAGTCCGCTCTGCAACTCCTCTTGCAACAAGCTGTAAATCAGTCTATGCCTCTTAACCAAGCTCTTGCCCTCAAATTCTTGTGATACCACTTTCACATTGAAATGCGTCTCGCCATCACTTCCTCTAACACCAGCATGGCCCGCGTGCTGATAAGAAACATCCTCGATTTCCAACTCGACAGGACTCAGCTCTTTCTCCAGAGTCTCCTTTATCCTCATCCCCCTATCACCCAATACATTTCCCATGCCAGAATGCTCTCTGAAATCATTATCTGTTTCACTAGACTTGATCCCACCATTTACAATATTATCATCAGCATTTGGGACCAAATTCGAGTTCTGAAGTAGGCCCTTTTCAGTTGTAGCACTACTTGAACTATTATCAGCAGTCTCGAATTCAACGTACAATTGGAGAGCCTTTTTTTGCATTAATTTCAACATGTTCAAGAATCCGTTATTCCTGGATGGAGTTAAGCTCTGCTGCAACCCTAAAAGAACCACGAAATCTGGCGACACCTTCACGATCTCTTCCACGGGCCGGCCCGAAAGGCCTTGGACTAGCAAAGCGGCCAGCCCCTTGGTGAGAACCGAATCCGAATCTGCTTCAAAGATTACGTTTTTATCACCATCCAAATACGCCCGGACCCAAACCTGCGAAACACAGCCCTGAACCTTGTTCTCGCTTGTTTTGTACTGGGGTTCCACGGGGTTTAGATTCCGACCGTAGAACAGTAGCTGCTCGTACTTGGCTTTCGGTTCTTGAACTCCTTGGAAGAGTTTAACGATTTCTTGGAGCTTAGGGGGAAGCTCCTCAACGGGCTGGATAGAAGCTGAGGGCGAAGATGAAAAAACCGGTTGTTTAGTGGACATTCTTTGGAAAGTGATGGTCTTACGGAAGAACAATCGAGGGATTTGAAGAGTGGAATAAGATGGGGTTTTCGAGGGTTTCAGGAATGCAGCCGTGAGGCGGCCGGAGAGAAGAGATTGAGGGATTCTGGTGGAAGACATGGTGCTGATTTATCAGACGATCTTTGTATTATTAGAACAATAATGGACATAATCGAACGAATTCTGCAATTTTCTTGATGGGCGGCATGGGACGACCGGAATTTTCTTAATCGAAAATTCGGTTTACCCATTGCAAGAACCGAAAATCGAACCGGTTCGATTCAGTTTTTTAACCGAAATTAGTTAATCCTAATAAATAACTAATCTTCTCAATAAGTTTTGATTTTTTTTAACCAAATCAAAAATTTGATATTTTATCCAAGCCATAATAATTAATTTTAATCACCATGTTTTAATCTTCTCAATAAATTCTTCTAAACACAACGTCTCAGACCTAAAAGATGACTTGGACTATAATATTGAGTGCAAATTAATGCTTGAGTCATTTTAAGGGTCATTGAAACTTGAAAATAATCATTCATTGAAGCAAGATAATACTTATATAACTTATATACATAAATAAAAAAGATATATATACGAGGTTCAAATGAGAACCAAGTTCTAGCGTGAGAACTGCTACTTTTAATTGTGTGTAATGCTTGATTAATTGTGTGTTAGTGCTATTTTTAACAAATAATGTATGTTATTAAAAAAGGTAACACAATTTATATTAAACATTTATGAAAAAGAAAGTACCATGTAACATTAAAAATAGCATCATACATAATTAAAAATAGGATCAAATATGGTTCTCATTCTCACAGCAAGACTAGTTTTTATTTGAACTAGCCCATATATATATATATATATATATATATATATACGTAAATAGGTTTCTGGTTTGGTTCAGTTCGAAGTTAACCGATCACTATTATCCAAACCGAACCGAAAACCGAAATATTAAGAAAATGTAAACCGAAAATTGACCCAAATATTCGGTGTTGGTTTCGGTCCAAACTGAAATTTCGGTTTCGATAGGTTCAGTTCGATTAACCCTACTTTGTGCACGCCTACATGCATTCGAACAAAAAATTACCTCGCACATGAGGTCATGTTATCCTTTTCTACAAGTTAACGGGCTATTTTTATCGTAATAAATTTTACGCACCGCCTAATAATAAGTTATTTTTTACACTCTATAAAGTGTGTAAATTTTACATACCGTCAAATAATATGTTTTGCACCCCGTCAAATGATAAGTTTAACTTTTTCACTCAAGGGTATGTTTTGTTTTAATGGAGGGGAAGGGAAGGAAGAGAGGAAACGTAAAATAAGTTTACCTTGTTTGGAGGAGTTATTTAAGAGGAGGTGGAGGAAAAATAAGAAAATCTTGTTTGGTTAAAAATTAAAAAGAGTGAAAAATAAAGTAAAATGACAAATTCATCCTTAATGAAATAAGTGAAGAGAAATAAAAAAAATAAAAATAAAGATAAAATAGGTATTGTACCCTATTAAAACCTCACCTCTCCAAATCCCTCCAATTTTGGAGGGGAGCTAAAATGGGGAAGCAAATGAATTTCTATTATAAATTTTCCTCCCCACCCCTTTCAATTTTGCAATCAAAATAGAGAAAAGTAAAATTCTACCTCCCCATCACTCCCCTCCCCTCCCCTCCAAACCCCTTGTTGACCTAAAAATCTGCTTTAGCGTTGGATGACTGACACGTGGACGGCGAGAAAGTGAAGGGGGTACGCCCAAAAGTGCCGAGAAAACGTTGCCCGACCTGTGGTGGCCGGCCTCATTTAGGAAGCCGACCTTGTCTGGAAGCCGACCTCCTACACGAGGCAACCTCGGGTGCAGGCCGACGTCGGAGCAGGTAGACAGCATTTAATGCACGTACCATCGACTGTTCAGAGCCCATGTGGAGACATCATTGCGCGAGGGGGCCCCACAGACAGAAAAAGCTGCGCAGATGTCATTCCTCATTAAATGCCGCCGAATCTCCTCAAAAGATGAGCCCCCCAGTTACTATAAATAGCAGCAATAAAGGCAATACGAGGATCTTTTTCCCGACACATAAATTCTGCATTAATCACCTCGGCTTTTGCCAATTTTAGCATTATTGTACAAGAAAAACCGACCTCAAGTCCGCGAAATACCGACTTGATATTTTCCTAGATAATTCTCAGTTGTTCAATAAAATCGTCTCAGCACGCTATTAATCTAATAAATATAAATATAAAAAAGTTGATCAAATCCGTTTATCAACACCCCTGACCAAACACTAGCTAAGAATAATTGAAATAGATAGATGAAGTAAATATAACAACATCAAGTACTTGCATAAAATAGAACGTGTTAGGATAATATAATGGTCAGTGAACGGTAGGAAACTTTATCGAGAAATTGAAAATAAGATGGCTTAAATATATAATAAAGGCTTGTGAGAACACAGTGTCCTTAAAACAAATTCGCCCCGTATGAGAGTCTATTTCCCAAGATATAACCGAAGAACCGAAACAAATTCGATGAACTGGAATTATGCCTAGACCAAAACACTTGAATAAGAAATGGGGAAATGAACTTTAACAATTGTTTTCTTTCTTCTCGTATATTTTTTTTTTCAAAAGATGGCAAGACTCTTATATAGCTAAGATAAGCCATACTCATTAACTCACTTCATTTATAACTTAATAAATTTGAGTTAAGATTTCTTGTAACATTAAAGCATGTAGTAAAGACAATGTTTCAAGTTAAGATAAAACTCGGTTTCAAAGTTCAATTGTTTATGTTACATAAATTTCATTCAATACTTTCCAACATGAACACACTTGTGTTACAATATAAAATAGAACTTGTTAGGCAGGGGTGTAGGCAGAAAAAAATCTACCCTGGTCTGATCGGTTTTCAACAAATATTTAAATAATATAATCTGATATTCTCGCGTATTTATCGCCATCAAATTTGTAAAACGAAGAAATTTTTTCTTGCTCGAAAGAAGAAAACTTTATCTGCTTATTCGGGACCATAGACGAATGAATAAAGCCTTAGAGGACGCAGGGGCGAAGCCAGAAATTTTAGTTGAAGGGGTCGGGGGGGTCTTACACGGTGTCTTATATAGATCCGCCCCTGCTGCCGGGGTCTTATTATTTTTTTAATGGAGTCTTACATGGTGAAATTTTGCTACGTACAAGTGGTTCAACGCAAAGCGTCGGTGTTGGACGACCCCAGCCAGTACAAGTAGCTTCGCCCCTGAGAGGACGGGTACTCAATTAACATTAAGAACTTTTCATACTGGCGGAGTATTCACAGGGAGTACTGCAAAACATGTGCGAGCCCCTTCGAGCCGGCCCGGTCTACGAATCTATTCTAACTCTCAACGAATTCCTAGAATTTTGGGTGGAATGGGAATTGTAATTCTTTCTACGTCTCGAGCGGCGGTGGACGAAGCAGAAGCGAGAATGTCGGCTTGATATTAAAAACAAAAATATTAGAAATTAAATTTTTACTAAGATTTAAATATATAATGCTTCATGTTCATTTTAAAAAAAATTCTAAAATAGTCTAAAAATTAAAAAAAAAAATAGTCTTTTATATAAATATGTCTAGGAACTCGGTAGCGCCTGCATGATTTCCATGATTTTTAGCTAGACGGCCATTACAGGCGCCCGAAATATTAAACTAGAGCTATGAGGTTGTAAAGTTACTCACGTGTAGACTTTTGCCCATATTTTTTTTTTTATTATTTTTTCATACTTAATTATTAAATAATAAAAATAATTTTATTTTTTGTGTGTGGAATATACATCAAATATAAAATAAAAAATAATAATCATTATATTTACATTAGTACAATAATTATGAATGTATTAAATTTTTTACGATATTGTACTTGACCATATTAATTAATATATTTATAAAATATATCTCATAAAATATACATCTATTAATATATAATAAGGATTAACTTAATTAATTTTTAGAAACTAATTCCCGCCAAAAACATTAATTATTGTCTATAAATAGTAATTTAACATAATTTCATAAAAACACTATTAATTACTGCCCGATTAAATATGGAATGGAATAATAATCCTCAAAATATGGAATGTTTTAATAAATTCGTAGATCAAATTCCGGATAAACTCGGCAAGCCAATCATGAACAGGACGCAACAAATAAATTCGTAGATCAAATTTAATAAATATGGAATGGTTTAATAAATTCGTAGGTGAACTAATGATTTAATAAATTCTTAGATCAAATTTAACCTTATTTGATTATTTTGTATGGAATGGTTTAAAAAATCATTTTTTTCACTCCATTAAATATGGAATAAAAGCAATTGCACATCTATATATATCTAAAAAGGATGATGGAAAAATCCTCAACACGGGTAGGAAAACAAAAATTACAAAATACAATAATTATTTTATGGCACCATTCAAAAGTACAGTAAAGGCCGTGAGTCGATCCAACAAACCGTTTTTGAAGTTGAGATTAGTTCTACTGTTGGAAACTCATGACGATCCGGAGCATCCAAACGCTTTTCATATCCTGTTTCATGATGACGGGGTAATTATTTTCAATAATTTTATCTTTAACATTATTTTCGTTGTTTGTATTATTTATTATTTTCGAAACTGATTTTACATTTTTTTTGTATTATTAATTATTTCAAATATGTAGGGTTCATACATGAAAGGAATAGTACGTTCGCAACATATGAGCATATTTCAAGATCGCCTTAAACAAGGCGAGGTGTATATTATTCGCAACTACGATATTGAATATAATAGTGGGAGGAATAATATAATAACTCATTGTTGGAAGATTGTCCTTCATAAAAGGACATATTTTATCAAATACAATGGGAATTTTCCTCAATACTAGCAATGATCGAGATATGGTTGTCGCCTGGATTTCTCAGGTTTTTATTATATATAAATTTGATGATTTGGTCATATTTATTGTGAAATGGATGTGTACTATATTTTATCGTGAATAAATTTTAATTAGTAGACTTCTCCTTCGATTTTGTACTTACATACAATTCTTTTATTTTTTTTATTTGTTTTATTTGTTCTACATGATTTATTTTCCGTTTTGTCGTTCATTTTTTTTATTTGTGTGCTTTCAAATTCTAATATTGTACAATTTCATATTACTGAATTTATTTTATTTTATAATTTTATTCTATTAAGTCATTGCATGCTTGAACAATTTTTAATCACCTTTTTTATAATGCTTGAACAATTTTTAATCATTGCATGTAGAGATGTTAAACGGGCTAGCCCTAGCGGTTACGGGCTAGCCCTAGCGGGCTTCGGGCTAAACGGTTCGGGCCTAAAAAGCCCGGATTTAAACGGGCTACCAATAAA